CAAAACTAATTTAATTCATTTTTATTATCAATTACAGCTTCATGGTAAAGAGCTCTTCAGAAATTAAACTGCTAGACAAATGCGTATATTACTGATCCTCATGTACCCCCCAGCATCCCAAAACTCACCAGCTAACAGCAGCTGCTTGGAAACCCTTTACAAGTCACTTTTTTCTTCCCCAGATGGTGAAGTCTTTTCTTCCCCTGTGCATTAAATACTCAAAAAACACACTTACCAAATTATCATATCAACCCATAACCATGCATGATAATTATTTCTTAAACTGGGATTTCTTCAACTGAATTTCAACCAAAATAAACATGGTATAGGGAACAAATGTATGCTTACAGTGAACAACCATTCATCAGCTTAAGTAACTCTAATGGATGCCACTTTAAACTAAGCCTGCACCATCTGTTCTACCCCTCAATTAGTGAAGCCAAAAAAATTTATTCAATACACAGTTTAAGAAAGCTAATTTATGTATGTAAGTTCTATTTCTCTTCAGCTCAGTGAAGCATGCTCTTGTGATGCTTGATATTCAGACACAATGATAATGGAAGGCTGCTTTCGCTAACACTGAGTTTTGTCAAGGGAAATAAAATTTCCCTGCAATATTTCACTATATAAAAAACTTCTCTGTAACATCTCACCACAAATTTTATTTTAAAGAGTGTGATGTCTCTGTAAGTAACAAAATCAACTAAAAGCTAAACAAATAAAATCTGAAGTCCTGCGCACATGAACACAAACGAAGCTTGGGACACAGCCCTGCATAGTGCTCACCCTGCCAGACTGGGTCTACCAGCACAGCCGTCACAAGTGGAAGTGTCTTCAGCCCTGGGGTCTGTTAACTATGTCAGTTCCAGACTCCCCTTTCATAGGCAAAGCCCAGTCCTGTGAGCTGCTGGGCACAGTGCCTCATACAGATCAAGCTGCACGAGGGCAAAGGGATCATCCCATGCAAGAGTGAGATACTCTCCTTGGCAAGCATAGCCTGTGCAGTGAGAGTAGTACAGCGCCAAAAAATCACTACTTGCCACAGTGCGGGGAAAAAAACACAGAAAGTTTCATCCAGTTCCATGCTGCAAAGCCCTAACCAGTTTCACGTCAAACTGGCCTCTCCTACCACTCTGCAATGAGAAGACATTGAGCAGAACCTCTCTTCAATTTGATGGACCCTGACCTGCTTGAAGGCTCTGTCACCACCAAATCTCTAAGCTGAGTTTACTCTTGGGTGTTGCTAGTAAAAAACAAACCAGCAATACCAAGGGCTACTTCCACTGTAAACCTCAACTTCAACAGAACAGACCACACATCTAAGGGAAGAAAAAGGATGCTCATCCCCACTGCTAGATGGGGGCGATGATACCATACTCACCTGTTGTGGAAAAGCAGGCAAGAGGTGACTGTCAAACACTCTCACTTCACCTCTAGGAATATTAGGCTGGTAGAAAACTATTTTAAGATCCTGAACATATTTCCTTAAGTTATACCTCAAGATGAAACATCAATGGCACATCATAGTCTGGGTACTGAGAAAGGCACATCAGCCACAGATGAGTCAGGAGATCCTGCGTACTTAACAGCAGTATTACTAAATATTGTCACAAGCAGCTCAAAGTGAGATTGTTCACCAAGGAATTATTGATTATTTCGGCTCTCTCCCCTTGCTATAAGATTGTGAAGCTGAGAAGACATGCTGAAGTCCAACACTGGCACATTGTTTTGCTTCATGTCTTGAGACAGAGAGCTCAGTTCAGGCCTTAGTTATTGTTCACTGATTCAAAGCTCTGCAAAATAACTTTCTCTTTTTTGCTTAGCAGTGGAAGAAATAGAGTCAAACAGAACCACCATTCTGACGCAGCACAGACCAAGCAAGCAAAGCACATGAAGAAACAGAACATAGGCAGGATTCCTCTCTGGTCTGCAGCATCCTGCAATACCTTCCCCAGCCCAACCTCACTAGTATACCCCACAGCTCCTAGTGCCTATGGAAACACTGGCTGTCTGCTCTAAGTAGCTGAGCTCCAGAAAGGAGTAAGAGCTCTCAAAGAGCATTCATCTTTTCACTCCGCGCCATTTTTCTGTCTTCTACCTACCTGTAATTACTGATGAGAAAATTCAGGCCAGGCAATGACTGTTGGGTGCAGTTCAAGTGCACTCCTGGCAAGCACAGATAGGCAAATGACCTTACACTGGACCTCAGTGCCTTGCTTCATATAACAACCCTCGTGTTTCCTTGACCTGAAAAGCACCCTGAGCTATCCAAGTGCCTTCTGCACCTAAGGCAGCTGCCTGTTACGAAGCAGGGATCACTGACAAGGTCACAAGGCCATTTGTTAGAAGGGTTTCAGCATGCTGAGTGCTAACAGAAGTGTGTTAGGTCTGTTTCACACATGATGTTTTTACAGACTTGGACAGCACCAAGGAAAGAGAAGCATCTCTTCCCCCTCCCTCACTGCTTTTTTGCTGCATCACTTGAAAGAGAAGATTGCATTGTCTCCAGTCCCTGTGCTGAGGTCAAGGACTTCACAGAATAGTGTCAGGTTAAAATAGAAACAATGTACAAAAAAACCCACCAAGGCCTAAAAATGTCAATGATGGTCATGACTTACATAGCTCAGACTTGTATGCCAATGTGGGAGAAAGCTTGAGCACTCCCTGTAAAGGCATAGTAATTTCATCATCAGTTGAGACTCCTTTTAATCCAAACTGACCTGGATTGCCTCAGAGATGTCACTTCTTTTTGGTTCACTGATGTTTCCTCAGTGATAACATATAAACACAAGTGTTTAGTTAGGAGAGTCTTAGATAGACAGGAGCCATAAATCAACTGGATGCTCCCCCAAGATAACAGGTCTGTTATCCAAACCCAGTCTAATTCTGAGAGCACACACTTTATCACTGAAGTGTTAGGAAATTTCAGATCATGCAGATGATCTCAATCTTTGTCTTAAGCTAATACTTTTTCAAATTAAGAGTGAGGTTAGCAGAGAAACAGACTGCAAATATAATGACTTCTTCAACCGTGGCCAAACAACTGCAGTTTAGGTCTCTGGATGGCTATTCTAGGAGAGTGGTGCTCGGCCTTTTGCTCTCAAGGTTGTTACCCTAATCCATGAACTGGATCAGATGACACCAGCTACCCTGTTCTCCCTCACACCACAGAACTGAGCTTCTGAACACCCACCCCACAAGCAATCAAGAAAAAAAGGCAACAATAATGCAGACACTAAAAAAAAAAGAAAGATTGGAATATCATGATGCACTAAGCCTTGGCTGGATACTGAAGCAGATGTCAGTACATCGCTAACCTCTAGACAGTAAGCTTGTCCCACTCAAAAATTTCACATCCTCTATTATTCTCATTCACTAAGAAAACATCCTCCAGACATCCGAGACATGTCTCTGTTATGCTTACTAGAACTTATTGAACACAGCAAACACTATCTATAGAACAGGCACATTAATGAACAGCCAGCTCAGCAGCATGAGTTCTAGAACAGTCACTGCAGTACAGAAGTGACACCAGTTTGTTACTAGAGAATGAATACCACAGAGAACATTTTAAGTTCAACAGACAAAAGACTGGGAAGGAGGGGTGGAGGAGAGAGAGAACAAACATGTGATGCTGGAAGTGCAAAGTACTGTATAGAACTATGATCCACATCACTTTGTAAAAATCCATGCAAATGGCACATTTCGTAACAATTTCAAGTTTACTGTGCTTGGGATACCTTTCCATGGAGAATCACAAAAGTCTGTAGGAGAAAGCCAGTTATCAAGAAAAGGGGGAATAAGAACATGCAATTCTCTCAGAAACTTATATGTATACCACTTTTTCATGACAACAAACTAAGATTTCATGTACTCCACCAGAATGGATCCTCTATTGGCTTTGGTGGGTTTTTTATTTTCTTGTTTGTTTGTTTGCTTTTTCTTTTGTTCCTACATGCCAAACAGCTTCTACCACAGCTGCTTGTTAACAAAAAATGAAGAGCAAAAACATGCAGCTGTGCAGAACACATTGACCAATACACTGCAACCTCACAACCATATCTCAATCAAAATTTCTGTTAAAAACAGTATAAATTAATCTGAGTATGCTGAGCTCCAGAGCACTTGTAACCTGTGTGGCTAGTCTCACCTCCACTTCTACAGGAAAGAAGTCCAGTACCATTCTCAATTATCTTCAGGCCTGGCTCTGTAGGAACTTGAACTTCTCAGATTTTTCTGGACTTACCAAAAAGGACCAAAATCTCCTATTACATTCCATACAACAGCTTAAGTACCCTATTAGACTTGTCAGAATGCCTCGTGGAAGGACCAGGACCAGAGTTTTCCAAGCCACGGCTAAAAACCGCACCCTACTCCCACAGTACATGGGAGTGGTAGGACCTCCTCACTAAGAGCTGTAGGGAGATGAAACAATGTGACAGGGATAACAAGGAAGGGAAGTTTTATGTCCTACCAACTCATTGCAACACCATCAAATTCAACAGAACATACATACATACACACTACCCTTCCTGAGCTAACACAGTAGATCAATTGTACTTAAGTAGCCCACAGAAATAGAAAAAAAAAGTCTAGCAACATTTAATGACAGTGAAAATTACTGCTGTTTAGATATGCTTTCTGCAGTTTTACAAACTTTTTTTAATATGTCAGGAAATCATCAACATTCCTAAATACTGGGATGATCAAAGCATGTCACCAGCTAACAAGTTACACAAAAAAAACAGGCTATCAGAAAGTATGAACACCAAATGTAAATCTATTTATTAAAACCCCATTTACTGAATTCTTACTGACTTGAGTCCTCAATATCGTATTGGCTATCAGCTACCAAGAAATGGGACAAGAATGGTTGATTCAGCATAATTATCAGTTTACAGAACAGCATATTAAAAGTCTACTATACAACTTCCAATTAGATCAAGTAGCACTTGACACAAACTTCTGACTGTAGTTACATTCCATCTGATAGGTCTTACCTTATAATTGCTGGAATTTACCCAAGAAGTGGCCAGTCCATCAACCATTTTATCCAGCATAGTCTGATCATGTTCAAGATCAGCTGACTTCTGTTTATCTGAGAAGTAATCTATCAATTCCTGGCCAACTTGAAGTCTCTTTCCAACATCCTTCTGCAGCACCTGCGCTAAGCAGTACTCCATACTGGGCTCCATAGTGTCTTAGAAATACAGCACCAGCAAAAAAGCTAGAGGGCAGTAGGTCCAAAAAATCCCTCTATAAATGTATGCAGGAGGTCGCCTCTTTGTTCTATGAAGGTTACTGAGGGTCTGAGTTTCAAAGATGTAATTCTGAGAATGGCAACAATGCACCATGTGTGTGTGAACAGCAGCTGGCAGGATATTAAAAGTCCAGTTTAAATAACCAGTAAGAGACGAAGCAACGAGCAGTGCTGTACTGTTGAGTCTGCAATAATTCCCAATTCAGCAGTCCATCCTGAAAGAAATGAAAAAGAACAGTATTATAGGTTAAATTAAGACTGAAGCAAAAAAAGATCGAAAGCATGTCACAAAATAGGTTATTCATATGCATCTGAGAAGCTACGATAAGCTGGATAAGAGCAGCATTGTTCTATTTTAAGGAATCAGACAAGGTAGGTCAGGACAAAACCTTTGGTTATTCTTTACAACAGCAGTTACCCATCAGTTCCTTAGAAGTTTTAGTGACAGACAGTAAATCTGGGGTTTAAGTAACAGCTGAATAGTAATCAGTATTATTGCAACTACCACTGTCACCATCCACCCACAAAGGTGTAGACAAAATCCTTCAGCAGGTCACCAGGAAAATACACCTGCTTTAAGAAGTGAAAGCAGGAAGAGGTCTGGATCCTGTTTTGACTGTTGGCCTTCAGCAGTCAATGCCATCAGCTGGCCAGCAAGATAGAGCACTAACACCGGGCTCCAGGAATGTAAAATGCGCAGTTTTCAAAAACTCAGTGCTCAAGCTGTTTCCAGGCTGAATTCTGTTACATCCCAACTACACATGCCCAGGAAACGGCACTGGCACAGACTAAATGCAGTTCAACCAACAGTGCCCATGGTGTCCTGAGAACCAAGGCCATACACGAGAAAGGCCAGGCCAAACTTTGCTGCCACTCAGAGTCACAGCATCACCTCTGAAGTAAGCTTTTGGCTTATGTGTAATGGCTCTATGTCTGGAGCCTGGTTATGTTCCTCAACCCTACAAACTCTCCTGTCCAAGAACTTCATTCAGGACCCAGCTGCAGCTTTTTTATTTTTTGTTCCTCCATCTGCAGCCAAATTAATCCCTCCAGGCAGCCAGGGAACAGACCCTAGGCCTGTCCTCCATCCTCCCACAGACCAGGGCTCCTGGCATCACCATACTGCTTCCTGAAGCGCTCCCTCATCACATGTTAGCTCTTTTAGGAGGGAGCGACAAAAAAATCCAGAGTGTCTTTTTGTTTCCTGTCTAATAATACCCAAAGTTAGAAATTTGCTCTACTTTTTCCGCCAGCATGAGGAAAGCAGGTCAAGCTCAGAGCAAGGGAAGAGGCTGTGGAGCAGACACCTGGTTCAATAAACAACTGGAAGGAAGCTGGAAGCACAAGTTCACTAATTGGAAGCAGCAGGGCAGCAAATCTAAATACCTTCTGTTTGAGCAAATAAGGCCCTCACAAAAGTCTTAATAAAACAAAGTGGATTTGACAGCAGATGAGATGCACACAAGAACCCTAGACTGGAAACAAAAGCACACCTTGCACAGCAGACTACTTTGGTTCATTATCTCACCTCCATCCTCCCTGGACAGACTTACAATCTGCCACATCTTACCAACACCAACCACAGCATCTAGATGCAGCATAGAGGCTTGTGGTCTTGAACTTCCCTAACCCTACACTAGCTGCACTGCTTATTCATCAGGCAGGAGGAGTCACCAGAAAGCAGGTCTGTCCATTCCAGGCAGACAGTTCAAATCCCTGCTGGTTGACAGTGAACAAAATTAGTTCTGTACATCCAGGGACTCACCTCAGTCAAAAGCCTGGCAAACCCTACCATCAGCCAGAGGGGATTGTTTCGGCCTGTGGACTGAACTCTCTCCTCACCAGCAAAACCTCACCACCCAGAGCAGCAAGGGATGCCATCCAGAGGGACCTTGACAGGCTTAAGAGGTAGGCCCATGCAAACCTCATAAAAGTTCAGTAAGGCCAAGTGCAAAGTCCTGCACATGGGTCAAGGCAATCCCATGCACAAATACAGGCTGGGCAATGAGTGGATTGAAAACAGCCCTGCGGAGGAGAACTTGGGGGTGTTACTGGATGGAAAACTGACTGTGAGCCAGCAATGTGCACTTACAGCCCAGAGAGCCAACTGTGTCCTGGGCTGCATCAAGAGAAGGGTGGCCAGCAAGTCGAGCGAAGGGATTCTCCCCCTCTACTCTGCTCTCATGAGACCCACCCTGCAGTGCTGTGTCCAGCTCTGGGGCCCCCAAAATAAGAAGGGCACGGATCCACTTGAGCAGGTCCAGAGGAGGCTACAAAGATAATCAGGGGCTGGAGGACAGGCTGGGAGAGTTGGGTATGTTCAGCCTGGAGAAGACTATGGGGAAACCTTACAGCAGCCTTCCAGTACTTAAAGGGGGCTTACAGGAAAGATGGGGAGGGACTTTTTACAAGGTCACATAGTGATAGGACAAGGGGTAACAGTTTTAAACTGAAAGAGGGTAGATTTAGATTAGATAAGGAAGAAATTCTTTACCGTGATGGTGGTGAAACACTGGCACAGGTTGCCCGAAAGTTGTAGATGCCCCCTGCCTGGCAGTGTTCAAGGCCAGGTCGGACCACCCCAACTGATACTCTTAGAACAACACCTTTTTTCTTTCTAAAAGAGGGACATTGCTTCCAAGCTAGAGAAAAGCCATGCCTTTTCTTATTGCTGAAGCTACAGTATCTCACTTGTTTCAGTTTAGCACCCACTCTGAAAGAAGTGTTCTGAGCTTTCCCATCCTCAACCACAATGGTACATGGCATGGCTCCAAATACCCATGGCAGCACCAGCAAAAAATCAGGGCCTCTACAAGCCATGATAAAAGTGCAGCATAAATTTTCCTCTGAGTCTCCCTGTCTGAATCTCTGAATATTGGACCCTGCCCTGCCCTCTAGCATGGGCTGGTCTTGCTCCTTGCTGCAAGCACTCCAGTTATGCCAGACAGTATCACACACAGAAGTCTCTAAGCATCTAACAGAGGGGTCTTCACACAGTAAGGCAGCATTTCACTGGATACCTTGCTAGCAGAGCTGCTGGAGAAGGGGCAGCAAATTAATATTGAGCAGCTACCATGTTCTAGCTGAAACCTTTAAATTTAGCTGTGTGGTTTGCTTCTGAACTCCAGAAGCTGCACACATGTTCAAAGGGGACTCTCCTGTTAAACTGGATAGAACATGGTGAAGAAAGTCCCCAAATTGCTTTTAAAATGGAAATGTGGAACTTGCTTAAACTTGAAAATTCAGATTACAGGAGGGTGTGAATGACTGTTAATTAGCACAGAATAGCTATTTTTTATTAACTTCACACATAGACAAGTCCCAACACATGCAAGAAACCATTAGTTGCCCTTACTGCCATGAGAAAGGAACATTCAAAGTTTCTAGTCTTTCTTCTATGTGGTTTTCATTTAAGGGTTTGTAAGTCTCTGCCTACAAGCACAGAAACAATCTTTTAAGCAAACTAACATAAACAAATTTCTCTCCAAGTTCCTCATTTTTTAAACATGTGAAGGAAGGCATAGGATAAAAATTATAGTGCACTATAGAAGAACAAATTAGTCAGTCTTGAGGAACGTAGTCTAAAGAAGACCCACTACACATTATGGCACCACCACCAAACACACATGGGGAGAAGAGCCAGAAATATCTTTGAATCCTGAGGAAAACAGCAGTAGTAAGCCAAGAGGGAAGACTCAAGCTGGCTTGCATCTACTAGCCAACAGGTGTTTCAGTTACACATTTTTTAACTTAAAATAAAAGCTCTTCCACACATGTTAGGAAATCTGTTGACTCCCCTTCTTCCTCACAGGAGGAAGTGGAAAAAATACCACCTGAGAAAACCAAGACCCAATCTGACAAAAAAATGAACCTCACAGACAATGACACATATGGCTGCTATATCCCATCAAGTTTTAAGTCAGCCGGGCAGATGCTCCCCACACAACAAGCTTTGGAAAACAAAGCCACAGTCTCAGCCCCAGTGGTCCACTTCTGTTTCTGTAGAATTTAAATGCATAGTTTTCAGGCAGGCAATGTTACAAGATACAAACAATTTAGGAATAGGATTCTGAATACAACCTCTTCCCACAGAAGCACAATCATGCAGAAGTCAAAACTAACAACTCAGTGGCACTGCTCTTGTGTTTGGAGCTCCTGCAAGTTTTGAGAAGGGTGAATATAGGCTCCAAAGCAAGGGTTTTCTCCAGTTCTCCAACTAGGCTTGCGGTTTGTACTCAGGGAGACAGGCTAGGTTATGTCTGAAATAATGTCAACATGTAGACAAGATAATCCAAGAGAAAAAACTATTCTGCCCACCACTACTCTGTCACTGCAAAAATAAAGTTCCCTCTTTCACCAATAAACCATCAAAACTATGTGCTTAGTCAAAATCTCTGCCCATAAAACCTAAATTTTCCATGAAGTGCTATCCAGCAGAATGCCACAAGAAAAATTTAAGTTTAATGCCAGATTGAAGCTCAAAATGATGAATTTAAAGGAGAAAGCTGACGAAGACGAATAGCCCAAAGTTACTACCACCATTAACACCATAAAAGATGGTACAATTCACAGCAACACAACTGGCTCAGCAGGTAAAATAAGTCAATCCAAATCATAAGGAAATACTTGTTACCTAAGATACTGTGGCAACATTAAACTGGGTACATAAACCACTGAACTTTTTTCAGTGCTTAGGAGAACACCACTGACCCCAGACTAAGTGAAACTGCATTATTTGCAATTCCCAAGTAAGACTATCTTAGAATAACTTTACAGGCAATTATAAATCATCTTCCTCTTGCAATGAGGAAGGAAACATGAAGCCTATAAAAAATGCAATACTACTCTCATGGGGGCTTGTCTGGACTTGGGAGCTCTTCCAATATAGTTTGACTTTAAAAGTTATACCCGTCTCTTCTGCTCTAGTCATCAGGCTGAGTTACCATCTTTGCCAGGTTTCACCATCATCTCCATTTGCCAATAAACCAGTGCAGTTCGCAACCTCCCCTTGTCAACTGTTCTAACACAGCTAATTCGAGACACAAGCCTGCAAAGACAAAATATTGCTGCCACTCATGATCACTGTAGGCAAGAGCCAGTGCCATTCACTAACCAGGCCTCCCTAGTTCCCTTCCTGAAGGTATCTCTGTACCTACTTCCAGCCAGTAAGCTTAACTTGTAAACATGACAACACTTCTTTGGTGTCTTTTTTTTT